AGTCCCCACCAACGAGGGGACAGTGCCGCCTCCGTTAGGGACCTTCCAAAGTCCCCACCAACGAGGGGACAGCGTCACCTCCACTGGGGACTCTCTGAAGATGTCACCAACAAGGGGATGGTGCCACCTCCATTGGGGACCTTCCGAAGTCCCCACCAACGAGGGGACAGTGCCACTCCTTTGGAGACCCAAAGGCACTTCGTTGGGGACCCTCTGAGGTCCCCCTCGAGGAGGGGACAGCGCCACCTCCGTTGGGGACACGTTGGGGACAGGTCCCCATGAGTGACGAGGTGGTGACAACCGGTTGGTGGCATCCTCCCCTCCGCGGGCCACCGTGTGCCACCGCGCCTGTGTGTCCCCCCCCCTTCCTTTGTCCCCAGACGACTTCCGCATCTTCTGCGGGGACCTGGGCAACGAGGTCAACGATGACATCCTGGGCCGCGCCTTCGGGCGGTACCCGTCCTTCCTCAAGGCCAAGGTCATCCGCGACAAACGCACGGGTAAAACCAAAGGTTACGGCTTCGTCTCCTTCAAGGACCCCAACGACTACGTCCGCGCCATGCGGGAGATGAACGGTAGGGGACGTTGGGGACATCGGGGACGTTGGGGTGATGGGGGGACACGGGGCGGTGGTGGCTTCATCCTCGTGGAGAACATCAACGATGACATCCATGGAACGAGGGAAATGAGTGGTAGGAGAGCTCAGGGACATGAGGGACATTGGGGACATGAGGGACATTGGGGATATTGGGGTGATGCGGGGACATGGGGCAGTGGTGGCTTCATCCTTCTGGAGAACATCAACGATGACATCCATGGAACGAGGGAGATGAGCGGTCGGAGAGCTCGGGGACGTGAGGGACATTGGGGACATGAGGGAGAGGGACCTTGGGGACATTGGAGACATTGGGGACATTGGGGTGATGCGGGGACATGGGGCAGTGGTGGCTTCATCTTCCTGGAGAACATCAACGATGACATCCATGGAACGAGGGAGATGAGTGGTAGGAGAGCTGAGGGACACTGGGGACATGAGGGACATGAGGGACCTTGGGGACATTGGAGACATTGGGGACATTGGGGTGATGCGGGGACATGGGGCAGTGGTGGCTTCATC